AAATATTTTATAATCCTGAAAGGCTAGTGTAATTAGAGGAGGAAATGGAAGTTGAGGTTCCTATACAGAAATTTTTTTTCCAGGGCATCTGGGTGGCTCAGTTGGTTAGATGTCTGACTCTTAATCTCAGCTCAGGTCACAGTCTCGCAGGCTGTAGGATCAAGCCCCACATTGGGCTCTGTGCTAACATCGTGGAGCCTGCTTGGGTTCTCTCCCCCTCTCTCTGCCCCTCCCCTGCTGGCACACTCCTTCTCTCAAAATAAATAAATAAATATTTTCAAAAAAGAATTTTTCCTTAACAAATATTCAAAATATTTTCCCAGAAAAAATAAAATATTTTCCCCAAAGTTCCCCTCTACTTGCTGGATGGGATGCTGCCCAGTTATGAATCATTTAATAAAGCCAATTAGATCTTCAGAATTCTTAAAATGTATTTTCCTGCTAACCTTAGGCTTAGAATGAATTCTACTCATTATTATCTGTGGGTATGATATACTTACTAGTCCAAAAGGGATGTGTTCTATAGGATATCATTTTTACCCCGTTGGTTCTTTTTTCACCTTCAAATTTAAAATAATGAGCATTTGTAGCTATGAAAAAATTCCTTGGAGTGGGGTGCATTTCCCTAGACATTTTTCTAAGAATAAGAATAATGCCCTTATTCAAAGATCAAAGATTTCACTACAGAATAGGGTTAATGGGCTTTTTATTGCTAACCTGGGATCCTAACCACTACTTATTATACATTTCTGGGTGAAGTTTTTTTTTCTATCTTCCTAAAAAGTTACATATTTTTAATTTTTTCTCTGAATTTTTATTTAAATTCTGGTTAACATATAGAAAGTTATGTATTTTTTAAAAACTGTTGACATAAAATTCAAAATTCCAAAAACACAAAATTCCAAAACTGAAGACTAGTTATATTTTTAGCATTTCTCCGGGAGTTACATACTGAATATTTTTATTTTGTATTTGAAGATGATTACTAACCAGTCCTTTTAAATATGTAATTTTTAGGAACACTTAATGTTTCTTACATTTATTCTTAGATTTTAAGTTTTCTTTAAAATTATAGAATGAGTTTAGATTTCAAATTAAGTTGCTGTATTTTATCTAAACCTCTGTCTGCCAGGAGTGTGACTGAGGGAGAAGAACCCTTTTAATTATATATTATAGTGGTGAAATGATTATAGTGGTGAAATCACTTCTGTGCTTTGAAGTAATCCAAACCAAAATGATAAAGCAAATCCTGATGGTCATCTGGCAACAAAACCTTCTCCTATCTACTCCACAAAACCTGAGCAAAGAGCTGACAGATATGTGATGCTTTGTCAAACTTTATCAACTACCATTGAAAAGATATGAAATTCCAGAGTTGATACTTCTGAAAGAGAATACCCAGAAGATCTATCTGATATGACTCACTGTTGCTACCATGAAACTAAAATGTTTGTGTTTTCATTTTAGTGACATTATATGCCTCCTGCATTCTCCTGGGAGTGTTCTTGAATAGCAGTATACCTATATTTTTTGAGCTTTTTGTGGAGACTGTCTACCCAGTTCCAGAAGGAATTACTTGTGGAGTTGTCACTTTTTTAAGTAATATGTTCATGGGAGTACTTTTATTTTTTCTCACATTTTATCACACAGGTAAGAAATTTGACTTTTTATTTACTATCTAAATGTGTTACGAGAGAGGTTTGTGGCACTGATGTATAGGGAATTTATATGGAGAATTCTCACCAAAGCAAATTACTTTGACAAAGCTTTCAGGTGCCTAAAAAAAAGATCCTCCGTTTTGTTTTTCTTGAAATGCATCCTAGACTAATGTAATGCACCCTCACTCCCTAGAGTTTCTGGTTTAATTAACCTGGACTGGGGCCCTGTATTTATATTTTTAAAAACCCACCAAGTGATTCTAATATACTGGTTCTTGTTGAGAACCACTGGTATATTGCTTTTTAAAAGATACTTAGAATCTACTGTCTTAACATAAGGTACAAGTTAAAGTCAGAGGTAGATTTGTAGTGTCAATCCTTAGAGATGAATGAGAGGTCACCCAAGGAGTGGGTAGAATATAAGGAACAGCACTCTCCAATGAAACTTTTTAGGAGGCTGGCAGTGTTCTTTACTGTCCAGTACAGTACCACTAGCCACACTCAGCTAGTGCAAGTAAGGGATTGGACTTTTTACCATTTTATTTTAATTAATGTAAGTTGAAATTTAAATAGCTACACATAGCTAGTGGCTAGTGAATTGGTCAGCACAGGTATAGAGTGAAAAGAAGGTTGAAGTACCCAGTGGGTACGCCTTTGAAGAAAAGGGAGGCCCTTACAAGAGAGGAAGGGATGGGGTCCTGAACTCAAGTGGAGGAGTTAGACTTGGACAAAAGGAGTTAGGAGAGGAAGCAGTGCGGGCAGCCACAGAGGCAGACACGCTTCCCAGGGCGATTGTTGAAGGAGCTCCTTCTTGATGGCACCAGCTTCTGCTTAGAAGCCAGTTGTCTGTCAAGAGCTGGTGGGAAGATAGTGGAGACAGGGCTTAAGGAGAGAATGGAACATTAAAATAACCTTGGAGGGATGGGAGGAGACACCACAGGGACAGCTGGAAAGATTGCTGGGCACACTGAAGGCAGACCACCTGAGGTTGGGATCCATGGGTTTGTAGTGACTCCGTTTTGCACAGCTGTTTGGTTTTCTCTGATACTCATTCTTCTCTGTCCAAAATCTGTCTTGCTGTTTTGAAACATTTGAGCATAATTATCTAGTATTTTTTTCTTGCATGTTAAGGGTTTATACTTGTGATTCTTGAATGTAAATTTTTATTAATTTCTACTAGGCTTGTATCCTATTTTATTTCCTCATCATAAGCGATCTGTTATTACTACCTTTTTTTCCTCATTGCTTTTCTCTTAACTGCTCATCAAATACCAGTAAATTTGGATAATTTTTACATGGAAGAATCTAATTTTAAGATTCAAATGTAACACATGCTCTAAAGTGTAACAATCCAAGAGGCCTAATATTTTATAGGAAACTTCCTGACAGTCTTATAATTGAAATAATAGCCACAATAACCACCTTGACTGGAAAATACATTTTTGAAACTTTCAAAGCTGATGAAACAGAATCTGGCCTGGGTTTTAGACAACTTTTAATATAACATTTTCACCTAACAGCAAAAAGCATCCAAATGATATGTTAATTTCTTAATATATATGATTAACAACAAACTAGATCATTTCCACCAATCAGTAATGCAGGTGAAGTAGGTTTTAACTTTCCTAAACTTGATGTGAGGTCAGTTTCTCTTATGAAGGAGAGAGAGATTGATGAAGCCAGACTCCTGTTGACAGTCCTCTTGAAAACATGTGTTTCCATTAGGGAAAATGCCATCAGGAGGTGTTAGAATAAGGTCTTTCCCTCCAATGTGTTTTCTAAACAGAACAAACAATTCTAAATAGAATAAACAATTATTACACATCAGCTTTAATCCACTTCAGTTTGTCACAGTTGAAATTAAGAGGCTTAATGCCTCTCTTTTTGCATGGTAAAGTATGAGAGATGGCTATGTTGCCCCTTCAGGTGATAGAAACAATTTTCCAGCCCATGGACACAGCTCTGCTAAGTGGTCCCTGCAGCCTGGTAGAGCGTGTTTTTTTCTGTCTAATGGGAATAAGTTTTGTCCTCCCAGTATATAAAAATGACAACAGTAGAAGCCCGATAATGTTATCCTCCAGAAACCTCTTGCATGTGGTCTCTAAAACATAACACACGTTTATTCATCAGTTTAAGGCAGAGACTAACTACCCTTACACTGACTATGGAAGAGCCCAGTGTACCCCTGACCATCTTGCTTGGCCAATAGAGAGTCTGTGTCACTCTGCTGGTCCAGCTGCAGCTTTCAACTTGTTCAACAGAGACTGGAGTCTGGCGCAAGGGTACTAGAACTGACATCAGTTGGCGTTCACCCCCCATTTTGCAGATTCCTAGTGACCAGGTACAAGCAGATGTTTTTGTTTCTTTGGCATAGGTGGCAGAAGAAACACTTAGCAACGTTTCTGCTAATTCCTGTCTCATTGATGTGATCAAGGATTTATCTAGCTGGGGAAAAAAACTTCCCTCTTTTTGCTTGGTTTCTGGTCACATGTTTGTATACATCTCTTGTGTGGGTGTTAAAGGTTTCTGCCTAATCTCCATGATTATTATGAAAAATGAAACTTTAATTATTAATTTTAATCCGGCAAGATGATTTTCAGGAAAAAAGAAAATCTCAGTTCATTTTGATATTTTAGAGAGTTAATGAGAAGGTATGTGTGAAAGAGCCCTAGGCCAGGGCATTACTGGCACTCACCAAATGTTTGTTTTGTTT